AATTAAAAATAAAAATAATGATATATGCAGTACAAAATACGAAATGCAGGTCCAAAATGATAAATGCAGTAAATGAAAATGCTGAATGCAGTTGGGCGAAAATTACAAATAAGGGCACAATAGTACTTTTGCCTCTACATGGGGTATCTCAAAGGAAGATTTTTAGGGGTGGACCTATCCCTATATATTTTTCATATGAGGGGTGTATATGTAATGGACCCAATAATAAAATGCTACGGGGGTTCGGGGACAGCGGCCCCGATTTTTTTCGTGATATATTATGTCATGTAGATATTATATTTATCAATAGAAACCTCATTGCTAATAAAAGAATAAATACAGTGCATGTTTGAATTAAAATTAAATTTTTATTTGAATGATGGAAAATACTAAAAAATATGCAATAATTAATTTAATTTAAAAACATAAAAACATATAATTAATATATATATATATATATATATATATATATTGATATGTCTAATTGGGCCAACCCAATGGGCTTACAATTTATTTATCTACTGGGCCACGAGCCCAATATTGAAGACCACTATCACCGAGACCCAATCACCTTCAAATAAGGTTTGGGCCCAACAATCTCATCTAAAGTATAAATTACGATATAATTCATTTATTAAAGGTAGGTCATATTATCTAAATAATATTAGGAGTCATATTCTCTCAACCATTTTTACTATACGACGTCTGACTTGAGCGTCGGAGGGGTTTCCGCCGGATCAACCCCGGTCTAGTTCACGTGTTCTATGATTGCAGGTATCTCAAGGTCATCAAGCTCGTGAGCCAGTGATCCATTCTGCTCTTCCAGATCATCCTACTTCAACACTCTAAGATATTCTACTTTCTAGCAGCATCATATATATATATATATATATATATATATATATATATATATATATATATATATATATATATATATATATATAAAGGCCCGTGAGCTAAGGAATAACTAAAAAAGCTCGAGTTCAAAATTTTTTCGAGCCGGTTCATCGAGCTCACGGGTCGGTTCATATATATATATATATATATATATATATATATATATATATATATATATATATATATATATATATATATATATATATATATATATATATATATATATATATATATATATATATATATATATATATATATATATATATATATATATATATATATATATATATATATATATATATATATATATATATATATATATATATATATATATATATATATATATATATATATATATATATATATATATATATATATATTATTTAAATGATCTTATTTACAGGCCTGGTGGAAGCAATTTAGGACATGCCACCGCAATTTAAAAAAAACATAACTATCGAGGTGTTTCAGAAAAAGCTGGAAATAAACAAATAAAAAAAAAAATTCCTAATTAGTCGACAAAAGGAAAACAAATACATCGTGTACAGACCAATGAACATAAAAAAAGTGCAGGTATTGTGTAATATGTGCGACGATGATTAACAGAAGAAAGTATAAGCATCACGAATTCTTCTTGTTGGGTTGATGGGATTGCTTCTGGTTTTCGATTTTCTCCATTCTTGGTTTCTCTACTAGTGATTTTGTCTGCTTAAGAAAAGGCAAAGTTTGAGAGAAACACCCCAAAAGAAGAGAAACCGGCGTCATACCTAAGTAGACACGGCCACGGGCCGGTTCCGGGCCGGTTCATACTTGTTCACGGTTCACATTTTCCGGAACCGGAACCGGCCCGTAGTATGCACGGTTCGGCGGGCCAGGTCGGCCCGCCGGTTCGGGCCGGTTCCGGGTCGAGCCCGAAAATTATGAATTTTTTTTTTTGAAATATTTGATGAATAAGTAAATTAAAATAATTACTTTTAAATAGAAAAGGGAAAAGGAAATAAATGAAAAGACTTGAACTTAATTTTAAATTCAAAATTTTAAAAATTTTGAATTTAAAATGAAGTTGCCTACGTATTCATTACGGAATCAAAGTCCACGTAGTTCTCTTACCTTCACTTACCTCCCTAGTCGTCGCTAGACAGAGTGTGTAGAGTAGAAGCACGACTTGCTGAAGTTGAAGTCCCACTTTCAACGTAAGCTTCATCGCGATCGTCGTCATCATCAACAGCTAGGTGGTCGTCTTTGTGTCGAAATTGTTTTTTCCCCAATTATCCAAACGTGCTTCTAAATTTTCGGGGCGGAGATTGCTTCTTTTTTGATCCAATACATGGCCCGCGATACTAAATGCAGCTTCGACTGCAACTGTGGATACGGGGAAAGCGAGAACATCTTTTGCAATCATCGACATAATTGGGAACGCTGAACTGTTTGACTTCCACCAATATAATATATCAAACTTGGAAAAGGCACTTGGATCTTCATCATGAGGAAAATCAAAACGAATGGTTAGATATTTGTCAAGTTCCAATCGTCGATTGGAACTTGAACCCATGGACCTCGGGCGCTTTAAGCGCTCAAACACCAATCGTTGACCCATCGTCATATTGGAAGTATCCGTAGACTCTCGATTAACTTGTAAATTTTGAGATCCACTCATTTCACTAACATATTCATCAAACATTGCATGCAAAGTACTAGTAGCTTGAAGTATAATAAGATCTACATTAGGTTTAACAGGACGAGGAGAAGCGTTATGATCAATATTAACGATAACATCATTTTCCGGAAACAAATGATTGTAATACACCTTTAACAACTCAGTTAACAATTCAATCCTAAATCTAGGATCCAAAATGCAACCAACCAAATATATCTTATCAATTTTTTCATAATATTTCAACCATTTCTTTTTCATTTCAACCACACAGTTTTTTAAAATATCTTTATTTTCAGCGGTCGCAAAACCCTCGGCAATATTGCACAAATAATAAATAACCAAATGACATGTTGGATATGAGGAACCAGATAAGACATTAGTAGCTTCTGAGAAAATTTCCAAAAGACTACATATTTCAATGCATGCATCCCATTGTTTGTTTAAAACAAATAATCCAGTAGCATGCACTTGTGTGCTAAAAAAGTTGCATAGCAAATTTCGATATTCATAAGTTTGGCTCAACAATTTATAGGTTGAGTTCCAACTGGTACTAACATCTCGTGAAAACGCAATAGGATGTTTGCCATTTTCCCTACAAAATCTATTCCATCGTTTCACAATAGATGCGTGTTGCCATATATAAGAAACTAGAGCTCTAATAGGATAAATATGATTTTGTAACATTGTTAAACCATCTTGCACACATAGATTCAAAACATGACAAATGCATCTAACATGGAAAAACCTTCCCCTAAAATTGGCATGCATTTCTCTCGGAGTGCGGGGATACTAGCCGTATTGGCACTTGCATTATCAAATGAAAGCGAAAAAACTCTTTTAGTAAGCAAATAATCATCTAAAACTTGTGAGTGTCATTGCAATTTGTGCAGCAGTATGACCAGTATTCATAACCGGAAAAGCAATAATTTTGTTCTCAAGTTTCCATGCACTATTAACCCAATGACAAATAACACCCATGAAATCATTACGACGCCAATGATCACTCCAAATATCAGAACAAATAGATACTTTATTATTCATGGACAGCAATTGTTCCCTTAAAATATTTTTTGCTCTTTCAAAATAACTTCTAGTGGTGCGTGTAGTGGTTGATCTAGGTTGACGAGTGCAATCAGGACCATACATCCCTTTAAATTCATTCATTATGCAATCATTATCGGAAAAACCAAATGAAAGGTGACCCATAGCAATAACCATAGGCCCACCCTTATTTTTCTTTTTGTTTCGAATATTTAAATAAAGAAGAATCGTTACCTCCCTGTGAAGATCCGGTTTGCAATTGAGTTTGACTTTTGTCAATGCCTAGAGCTTGGGGATGATTATTCCCAGGGGCGGAACTACTTGGAGTCCTGGGGGGTCCAGCCCCTGCAGAAAAAAAATCCTTACCAATTTTTTTTTTTTTTTTAATTTTCTTTTATAATAATCAATTAATATACTAATGGACAAGCCCACCCAGCCCCTGCATAGAAAAAAAATTCTTATCAGTTATCTTTTTGTTTTTTTTAAATAACCAACTATACAAGCTTTGGCCCCACTAGAGATTCACTTTTGTAATATAATATTATTTGACTTGTAAATTGTAATTGAAAGTAATTGAATAGTCAAAACTTCTACCACAATTTACATCCACACACACGGTTTAATTTCAAGAAAAAAAAAAAAAATTTCTTCCATTAACTTACATCCACATACACGATTTAATTTCAAGCAAAAAAAAAGCTCTTTTCTTCCATTAACAGAAGAGGTAGAACAGACGAAAGCGACACAATTTTTTTTATTTCTTCCAAGTTGCAAATCACAATTTTAAGGGTAATTTCTATAAGGTAAATAATTTTTTTTCCTTCTCTATTATATCCCTATTCCTTTCATTCTTTGTTCCATTTCATCATTTGTGTTAAGGGTTTTTTATATTCTAGAAAATTATATGAATTTATATTTTGGGTACTTGGATTTCTTGGGTTCTTTTAAAATTATGGGTTAAATATAATTTAATCAACCTATGCTTTGAGTATATATATTTGTGTTGTATCAATGATGCATAATTTTAATTTATTTTTGTGCTCCTGTTGCAATTTTTTTGACTACATAGTCAAGTAAAAATAAAAAAGAAATTACTAATACTATTAAATGTTTGAAATTTATTTATAGGTTGTTTGATTCTTTGAATTGCAGATCAGTTTTTCTTATGTCTCTGCCACAAGCCAAACGAAAAAAAGTAATACTATCGATGCATTTTTTAAGAGTGTCAGTAAAGAACCCGTTGAACTTATTACCGAAGTTGGAGTTAAACTTGATCAAGAGTTTAATATCAATTCTTTGGAACGTGATCCGGGAAAACGACCTCAAATTTGGACATATCCCGTAAACCAACGAGATGAAATACGACGTGCTTACATCAAATTTGGGCCATATCAATTTCATTTAAAAGCATATCCTTATTCAGGGAGTGGGAACAATCTTCGACGATTTCAATATTCTTGGTTTTCTCAATTTCCTTCTTGGTTAGAATATTCACCTACCACAAACGCCGCTTATTGTTTACCATGCTATCTTTTTGCTAGTGAGACAAATGCAAAATTTGGTGCAGATGCATATACTGTGAAGGGATTTAGAGGTTGGAAGAAGATAAATGATGGACTAAACTGTGCTTTTTTATGTCATATGGGAGATCATACTTCCCCACATTCTCTCTTTGTGGAATCATGCCAGGATTTAATGAATCACTCGAGGCATATTGATAAGGTTATGCAAAGACAATCGACGGAGCAAATATTGAATAATCGATTGAGGCTTAAAACCTCAATCGATTGTGTTCGGTGGCTTGCATATCAATCATGTCCTTTTCGAGGTCACGACGAAGGACCAACATCAAAGAATCCAGGTAATTTTCGTGAGATGGTGAAACTTTTGGCTAGTTATAATGATAAAGTAGCATCAACGGTTCTAGAAAAAGCTCCTCCTAAGGCCAAATACATATCTCCAAAAATTCAAAAGGAGATATTGCATATTATTGCTTCTAAAGTAAGGAAAAAAATTCGAGAAGATATTGGTGATTCTAAATTTTGTATTCTTGTTGATGAAGCACGAGATGAATCCAAAAAAGAACAAATGACTCTTGTTTTGAGATTTGTTGACAAGATGTGTATTCTCCAAGAGCGCTTCTTTGATGTCGTAAGCGTTAAGAATACGACTTCATTGACCCTTAAACATGAGCTTTTAGCTATATTTTCATTCCATACTTTAAATGTTGAGAACCTTAGACGGCAAGGTTATGACGGCGCAAGCAATATGCGGGGTGAATGGAATGGATTACAAGCATTATTTTTACAAGATTGTCCATATGCTTATTACGTGCATTGTTTTGCGCATCGACTTCAATTGGCATTAGTTACAGCATCGAGAGAAGTGATTCTTGTTCATCAATTTTTCTCAAAGTTGGACTTCGTTGTTAATATTGTGGGTGCTTCTTGTAAGCGAAATGGCGAGTTACTTACTGCCCAACAAGCTGAAATTTCTCGTTTGATATCTATTAATGAACTTGAGACAGGTCGTGGAGCCAAAATTAAGACGGGAAAAGCGAAAATATATTACCTGGTTGATAGGTTGATTCGTCTGATTTTACTTCTTCCAGTTTCTACTGCTACTACAGAGCGAGCTTTTTTTGTTATGAAGCTTACTAAAACTAGACTTCGGAACAAAATGGAGGATGGATTTCTTGGAGATTGCATGCTTCTACACATTGAGAAGGAAATTGCCGAATCTTTTAGTACAGACTCTATAATAGATGATTTTTGCTCATTGAAGGATCGTAAAGCACAATTTTAAATTATTATAATTTTCTTCCTTTTTTTAGTACATATTGTATTTTTTTTTCTTTTGAGTACAGAGTCTACTCTCTGTTTGGTTGGTTTTTTTTTTTCACATCAGGAGAATTGTAATATTTTGTTGACCATATCAAAACTCTGAAAAATTAAGCTTATTTTCTTTTAATTATAGTGTTTTTAAAATATTATTTATTTAGAAAAAAAAAAAAATCTTTCTCCTCTTTTTTCGCCCCCCCACCACGATGTCCCTGGGTCCGCCCCTGATTATTCCTCAAGTGCCGCCAATAAGATCCATCTCCTTTTTTGAAGGCGTAGTTTGTCTACACAAATTAAAAAAGAAATATAAAATTAGCTTACGAATATTAAAACTAGAAAAATATTTTTTTTGATACTAATGGACTTACCTTGCAAAAATTGCATTGAGCTCGACAAGTTCCGTCCGCCTTCTCAATTTTTTTATAATGCAACCTCCAAATGTCGGATTTAGAAACATCATCACCGGTCCCTTCGGTGGTAGATTATTGAGATGGCCGTTTAGTACTAGCCCTAGGAATCGAACCCCCGGATGGTTGTGGCGGTGGCATTTCCTCCGGCTCATCATCGTCGAGTATGTTGGTGTAGTCGCCCAACTCGGGAATTATCGGTATGTGGTCAGTGTAGGTATTGGGAATTATTGATGGAATATCATGTTCCCAAGAACCATCATAGTTGTAGTCCATTTCGGGAGGAACTACGGATTTTCCCTTTCCTTTTCCGCTACGACGTGAACTTGAAGACATTTTTTCACTAAAAATAAAAACAATTTTTTGTTTTTTTTTCCAACAATTGAAGAGAAATTCGGAAATGCAATACAATTTTTTTTTGATTTTTTTTTACTAACAATTGAAGAGAAATTCGAAAATGCAAAAGAACTTTTTTCTTTTTTTTTTTTTTTTAATAAGAACCGAAGAGAAATTCGAGAATGCAAAAACTAAAGAGAGAATTGAACTTTACTAAACTTTGATATTGAAGAAGTAGAGAGAATTGTGAGTGAATTGGTGAGAAATTGGGTTGGAGTGTGAGGGTATTTATAGGAAAAATTAGGGGGGAAAAAAATTCAAAAAAAAGTAAATAACGGCCGGTTCACTAGCCATTATTTGCTTTTTTTTATAAATTTTTTTGATTTTTTTTTTAAATCCGGGTGAACCGCCGGGCCAGCCCGGCGGTTCACGGTTCACCATTTCTTAGAACCGGGCCCGTCCCGGGTCGTTAACGGGCCGGTTCGGGCCGAAAACCGGCCCATGGCCATGTCTATACCTACACCAAGATGTAAGCGAGTAGAGCAATAAAAAATTTCATGAGCAACTTGAAGCCAAATCAAGATCGAGAACTGAGTTGTTAGAATATATTATATTATTTAATATTATAGATCTCTTGTAATATTATGATTCCAGTATGATTTATTTACCTAGATTAGTTTAGTTATGATTTAGTTACCTAGTTAAACTCTATTATTACCTTGTATTTCTCTATATATATTCAACGCTAATCAACTCATAAGTTAATGGAGGTTTCTCTTACGTACCGTTTCTGTCCTTTTCCAATTCTATTCTTCCTAAATGGTATCAGAGCCTATGTTTTAACCTAGCTGCCACCGAACTCCATTGTCGGCGACCATCAAACTCCTCCACATTCCCATCTTCTCAATTCTAACATGGCATCATAGACATGACCACTACCCCAATTTTCTCCCTTCCCCAATTTTCTCCCACCGGATGGTGGTACTCTTCTCTCTATTTTTTTTTTCCCTATATTTTCCATGAACACCACCCCAATTCCTCTCTTCCCGATGGTGGTAACTTATATTCTTTTTTTCTTTCCGACATTTTTTTCTTCTTCTTCTTCTTAGTCGGTTAATCTATTTTTTCTCTCTCTTTAATCTCTATTCTTCCCCCTCTCATATCTTATCTCTCTCGATTCACCCCCCCAAAAAAAAAAAAAAAAAAACAATATATTTTCTCTATTTTTTCTCTATCCTTATTTTAATTATACTTCTCCCCCCTCTCAAATCTCTCTTATTTATCGTGAATATCATTCTTCTCTCTCCCAATTCACACAAAAAAAAAAAAGCTTATGCAAAAGAAATTTATTTGCTCTCCCTGTTATTTCTTCCTTCTATTAATTTGGCAAATATTTTCAGAGAGAATTTCTCTACTATTGTGTTTCGGGGATTTTTGTCCGGTCTTCACGTTTGGAGTTTATTCGTTCAGGCTGCATGAGCGTGTTAGCAAGTGTTTGTCCGGTCCTCACGTTTTGAATGCGGGGGCGTGTTAGAGTATATTATATTATTTGATATGATAAATCTCTTGTAATATTAAGATTCTAGTATGATTCAGTTATCTAGATTAGTTATGTATGATTTAGTTACCTAGTTAAACTCTATTACCTTGTAATATTTCTCTATATATATTCAATGCTAATGAACCCATAAGTTAATGGGAGTATCTATTACTTACTATTTCTCTCCTTCTCAAATTTTATTCTTCCTATAGTCTGAAAATTGTCGCAAAAGATAATCGTGAGAGATTAATAATGATGGCTAAGAATTTTACTAACAAAAAAAATAGCGGTTGAATTGTCGGGCCAAGAGATGGGGGCCCTGGGGGCGAGGGATTTCGCCTTTTGGTGCAACAATTAAAAAGAAAAAAAACATTACCGATAATTAAACTAATTAATTAATATATATCACATTAAATGTAGTTAATTAAGAATATACTATGGTGGTGTTTGCAAATGCTTTTTGAAAGTGATTATGCAGTATTTTTTGCTCATAATCTGTTTTTAGGTGTTTGCAAAATCAACTTTTGCTTTTGCTTCTCTTAAAATAATCTGTTTTAATCTATTTTTTTAAAAGCATCCCTAACCCTGCTTTTTCAATTTTAGTTCATTTTCCGAAATATTTGCAAACACCCCCAACTTTTAGAAATAAGCACTTAAAACTAACTTAAATCACAATCACTAACTTCTGCTTTTAAATATTCATTTGCAAACACCACCTATATACAATTAAGGACACTTTACAAATAAGCCATTAATGGATACTTATTCATAAAGAGGCTCACACAAAAAACTCTTTTACAGAAACGTCCACACATTCTTAAGAGGTTTATAAAAGACTAAAATGGCCCTCACATTTTAATATGCTCCAATTTCATCATTTAATTTAATTGAACCTCAATTTGACCTCAAATTTCACAAATTATTCAATTTGGACCCAAAACACAATTTTGAGTACAATTTCCTCCTTCGCCGCCGTTGACTCTTTTTTTTCTCCCCTTTTTTTCTTCTTGATTTTCCACTGGTTTCTAGCGTTGACTTTTTCTATTTTTTTCTTTCTCTTCATGATTTTTTTGCCGCCAGTCTTTGGGTTGACTTTTTTGAATTATTTCGAATTATCATGTTACTCAATCAACTACTCAAACAAAAAAAAAAAAAACCAAAATAATAATAATATCAATGTGGTTGACTGAAATATTATTGTGTTTATAGTTATTTTACTGTCAACGGCATTAATATAATTACGTTGACTTGTCAACAAATAAAAAAAAACCCAAAAAAAATAATAATATTGTCGTTGACTCTAATTGTGCTGTATTAAAGGGAAAATACAGACCAGTAAACACCGGAAACCGGCGACAAAAAAATAGTTTCTGAAAAAAAGAAGTCAAAATTGGATTTTGTGGTCAAAATTGATTAAATTGAGGTAACAATTAAGAATTGAGTGTAAATGGTTGGCATAATTTTGTGATATACATTTAATTTTTTCCTTTATTTATAATAAATATTAAAGGGATGGGTTTATTGGCGAAAGAGATATAACCTCTAAACCAAAAATAATAAAGATGGTTAGTCAAGAACTTATGCACCAAAACCCAAAAAAAAAAAGTTGTTCTTCCTAGAATAAATTGTTGAACTTTTTAAATTTAAATTTTATTTTGGGAAGAAAACATTAATTTATCTCTCATATTATTATCATCTCATATTATTATCAAACTTTTTCCAAAATATTGTCTAAGACATTTTCATAAATAAATTAAATATACTGGCCCACGACAATTTGAAGTGACATCCGAAAAGGGACCAAAACTTACATATTTTGAGAAAGAAAAGGGACCAAATTGAAATTATTCTCCACAATATTTTTGTAAGCAAAATTAATATACTAGCCCACCAGATATTCATTTATGTGTTTCTTAGCTTCTTTTTTGCATGTGTACAGGTTTGCCTCGCCCTTATATCAACTGACAAAATGACTTCTTGGATAGGACTAAATCTTATTGTGGGGGTACAATTGAAAATATCTTTTTTGTGTAGCAAAATTTGTTATTAGCTGAAAAGTTCTGGCAAATATGTGATAACGTACAAGTGTAACTCATACATATTTAGCTTCTGTATAAAGGTATTATTATGGTAGAGAAATTGACTTTGCAATATCTTTGCCTTACCGCTTGTGTTACTTTGGTTTGGATCTGATACGTAATAGAGTTGAATTAGTTTTGTTGTCGAAAATTTGCTTTGAATGAATTTGCCGAGGCGAACTGTCTTTATCCTGGAGAAATTTCCCAAGATACAATGGCAACATTTGCAATAGGAGCCCTACAAATTTCAAGTACGACGAAGTGTACTTTGTCTAGGAACTTTTCGAGAGAATCTGGAAATAATAGGTCATAAATGAAGAAGAAAGAAATGGCTTTCGGATTGTAAGTGAAGAATCATGGGAAAAAAAGAGTCAATTTATAAGATTTAAAAATTAGTGTCCCTTGGAGCAAAATGTACACCCCCACTTCTGTTGTGCACCATTTCGATTTGAATAGCTTGATTTGCAATGGTTCGACCACACCAATTTATATTAATTAGACTAATTTGAAATGGGCTTCGGGTAGGCGGATCCATGGATTGCGGATAGGCCTTTTTAGCCCAACAATAAATATAAGGGCATCCCCGATGAAGGCTCCAAACTCCATTGGGCTGCAAATTATAGAAATTGTGTAAATAAAATTAAAAAAAAAAGAAAAAAAAAAACAAAAAACAACAACAACGATTCTAGTGGGTTTGTAAATTTAGAGACATTCACAAAATTTTCAATTCTTTCCTAAACATGTAATTTCATTTGAATCCCTTCAATTTCGTGGGTCCAACATCAAAGGGCTCCATAATTCTGAAATCCATAAATCAATCAATAAATTTTTGAATTAAAAAAAATACCTGAGTGAGCTTTATCTTCTTGATTCACTTCTTCAATTTCAATACTTTCATCCAAACATTCTTCAATTTATGTGAGTTAAATCTTTTTTTTTTTTTTGGTGTGTGACAATGGCTTGCAGATAATTATTGAGGGAGAGGGTGTGTTGTTGAAGTTGGATGACAGTATATGGGATGAACAATGTACCGCCGGTTAGGGTTAGAATTTTTTAGCTCTGTTTTATTTTCTTCTTCCAATAAATCGATGCGCGAAGGTTGGGGGTGGCGGTGGGATAAACTGCATCTATTTGGGTTTTGGTGAATGGGTTGTTTGTGATTAATTAGGTTTAGTTTAGTTTAGTTTTGCAGAGAGCAGAGAGCGTTGGGTGGGTTATGTGGGTGGTGATGGACTTTTCCTATTTAAGTTTTTAATTATTATTTTAGTTTAATTTTTTTTTTCTTTTAGGTTTTAGAAGAGTTTATTTTATATTTAAAATTATATTATATTTATTTCTTAATATATTCCAACCTATAATTGTGTTAATATTTTCCTTCTTATTTGTTACCATTAAATTTTTTTATAGGAATAGAGGATACTGAAGGAAGTTCAAGGGGTCGTAATTTTTCACCCGAGGATATAGCTTTATGTCGAGTTTATATTGCAATTAGTGAAGATCCACTTATTGGAAAAAATCACTCAACGAGGACAATGTCAAATTGAATCTAAGATAAATTTTATGAGGTCGTTCTTGTTGGAGGTGAAAAGAGAATATCAAAAAGTCTTAAATCTCACTAGACGAAAATCAGTCAAAGTGGTACAAGATTTGCTGAATGTTTTGCTCAAATAAATTTGAGGCCAAGAAGCGGAGCAAGTTCAATCGACAATGTGAGTTTTATTTACTATGCTCTGTTATGCTATTTTATATATTATTTGATATTTTATTATATTAATTATTTGCTAATTTTAAAATTTCATAGATGGATGATGCAAGACTCTTATACGTTAGCACTGAGCAAAAAAAAATCAACTTGGATCATTGTTGGACAATTTTACAAGATAGTAAAGAATGGAGGTGTATCATTGAAGTTCAGTTCTCACAAAGTGCAAATAAGAGTTCAAGTTCACGTCTTTTTTCTAGCCCGAGTGAAGATGGAGGGGATTCGATGCCCGAGACACAAAATGTAGCACAATCACCAAACACCAATGTAAGACTGATGGGGCACAAGATGGCTAGAAAGCAAAAGGACAAATACATTGTAAATGATACCATGAGACAAGCTCATTCAATGGCAAAAGTAATGAGGGATTACCAATAAAAATTTGAGATTAAAACAGATTTCAAAATTATGATGACGAGCAGGTCATCAGTTTAAACTCCAGAGAGGAAAGCATGGTTGATTGAACAACAAAAGGCAATTATTTCAAAAAGGTCATCTCATTCATTGAATTTTGACGATGATGCTTATCACCCCGAAATGCCACCATTAGATTAAGTATCTTGATATTATTTTAATAATTTATTTTTCTTGTTATCGTTGATTATCTTAAATGTCGTTATTTTCAATTGGTACTGAATTTCTAGTAATGTAGTTATTAATATTGATGGTAAATTTTGTATATATAATTTAAAATATTGAGTTTATAAACAATCAAAACAAATTAATATGATTGACCCAAATATCACTTAAAATTCAAGGAACAAAACAAAGCAATAAATAACCATCTTATAATATGATTACAACGATAAAATTTAAACATTCAAGTTTCCATCTCGTTACTCTTTCCAGACATGCTCGACAAGGTCATCTAAGAGCATAAAATAGTGAGTTGTATCTCTGCCTGACACGGTTGCTTAAATATTATGCAATGGTTACCGGGTCTCGACTAAGCGCAACAGGTTGCTGCACTGCCATGTACATTGATGGGTCCTCGACAAAATCGTCACCTTCTTGATTGCATTTGTCTTACACGATCATATTATGAAGAATTATACAACATTTCATAACATCACCAATTTGGGCATTATGCCATAATCGATAAGGTCCTGTTATGAACTCAAATCGAGATTGAAGAATGCTAAATGTTTTTTCAACATCCTTTTGATATGCCTCTTGCAACCTCGTAAATATTTTTTTATCACATTGTTGGGTACACGTTGAACTCAATAATTATTACAGACCAAATAATAATTATTCAATAGCAAATAAATACCTATGAGAATGGGGTTTAGGGAATACAGATTTTCTAATGAATTAAGAGACAATATCAGAAATAAAAATTACAAAATATTATAACTAATATTAAATCTAACCGGACTGATTTAATACACAAATCAGTGAAGATGGAGACTCGTTCCGACTCAGTCCTTGAATTCCCGATAGTCCACGTCCAAGACCCACTTGACTGCCTCCGAACATCCACCGGAATAAAGCCCTCGTTTCACTTAGCCACGTTCTCCAGCACAAATTCCCTTTAACCCAACGAACCACTCAACTCACGAAGAAAAAACAGATCTGACCAAAAAACTCTCGTTCACACAGAATAAACCCACAACCCAGATAACAAAGCAAGGTAGAAGTTTTGAGAGTAACCCTACGAATTATTTGGACAGATATCAGCAAGATTTTCACGTTACAACTCTCACCAAAAGAAGCAGACTATAAAGCCACGATTTACTAGAAATCCGGAGAAAAAACCGAAGATCCGGTCTTGATTTCTGACGAGAAAATCGGAACAGAAAAGAGAGATAGAGATAGCAGGGGCGTGTTTATTGGTAGGGTTAGGAAAAAAATCTGCTGGAGAAAAGAAAAATTGGCAGCCCCTTTTTTATACCTTCTATCAACGGTCAAGATTAATCCACCAAATCAATGACCTAGATTAAAGAAGCTCTCACATTGGACTGGACTTTTAAGTGATGGGCTTACTCCATGGAGGATGGGCTTCAAGGTGGTTTGAGAATTGGGGTCAGAATATAAAACTCATTTGGGCCCATTTCCAACAATCTCCACCTGGGCCAAATGAGTCATCGGGACTTTTGTAGGGAATCGAGGTCATCATTGCCGGGTATATGTATTATTTGCATAAAATAAAATTACACTACGAAAGCAATAAAAAATGAAATACGTAAAGTAAATTAACCTTTCATCTCGAAATTTAGATTCTCCAAACAAGATCTAAATTTTTCGATGGGTAGGCATTTAGTACCCATATCAGCCGGATTAAATTCGGATGGGATCTTTTCGAGTCTAATTTTGCCACGATCGACTATGTTACGAATAAAGTGGTACTTAATCTATATGTGTTTAGTTCTCTCGTGGAAAACCGGGTTCTTACTGTTGGCCGAAAACCTACACGCAAGTGCACGTATCGTACAAGTAATATAGTGGACTAAAAGTCCGGATATCGAACCCACAGGGAATATTTAATTATCTAATCCTAGACGCTAAATTCTACCAATTATTATCAAGCCCACCCTACACAGTCGAATTTGGAGAGAATTAACTAAATTAAAATAAAGCAATTAAAAAGACAAAAACAAGAAAGCAATTAAAACGAAGATTTAATCAAAGTAAACGAGCCTAGGATTTTATTCTTCCCCCTATGTGATTATTATTCCCCCAAATCCTTCAATTATGCAAGCAATTAACCCGGATTATTAACTCGAGATGCTAAAATAATCATAACCCGCTTCCGCGTGTATTACAATTCTAATACTCTAGATTCAATTACTATATTCCTATGCAATTAATTCTAGAACACAGCATTAAGCACAAATCTCAATAATGGCTATCTAAGAGATTAACTATATTCCTATGTTAATACCACAAAGGCTCTTCTACCACAGTTCTAATTATTAACCCGATCTTCCGATTCATGCGATTAACAATAACATAAAAGCACATAAGGTGATCAAGTTCATGCACTTAATAAAACAAGTAGAAGAAATAATCCGGAATTAAAACTTGCATAAAATCATAGAATTGGGTTCATAAATCCCACATAGGGTTCCAAATAAAATCCTAGAAATAAGTAGTTTAGCTACTCATGATTAAATCAAAAAACGCAAATAAAATAAATCATAGACGATAAATCTATGCTTAGAGTCTTCGAATTCTTCGTCTTCGTTATTGCTTTGTTGCTCTTGAAATTGCGTAAAAAGATGGATCCCTAATTGTGTGCTTGGCTTGGTCTTATATAGGGTGAAGAACTTGGGGAAGAAGGCAGTTTCCTTGTACAATTAAGATTCCTTCACTGCGCCAACTCGCCCATCCGGACGGCCGTGTGAGATTTATGCCTAAAATCCGCACGGCCGCGCGGTCCTTGATTCTCCAGAATTCTGTTTTTTCACTTTTGGCCCATATTTTCTCCAAAATTGCAGTTTTGACCCCATACTTTTCCAATTCTTCAATTTATACCTGAAATACAATAAATCAACTTTTTAAGCACCAATTATCGTTAAAACACACCAAAAGCTCAAATAAAAAGATACGATAAAGTGTAAAAATATACACTTAACACACCCCCAAACTTGAACTTTTGCTTGTCCTCAAGCAAAATCTACCAATAAGCAAATAACTCAACGATAACATCTCATCACATAGATCAATGATCAACTTCACGTTTTCAGAACTTGTAATTATAATGACAATTCCTTAGACATTCGCAAGCTCAAAATTCAACAACACTTAGTCACTCACCATTACCAAAAACCACAAATCATACAATTGCTTCAAGTATCCAATATTTGCAAGTTAAAAATAGAGAAAATTTATACTTACATGCATATGCTTGACTCCAAATACTCACCAAATTATTCTACTCTACTAATATCGAACATTAAGCTATTGGGATCATTGGGGCTTTGTGGCTTTCAATTGTTAGGCTCTTTGGTTCGAGGTAGGAAATATGGGTATGTGTGGCTATTCTTCTTGAATTTAGGTGATTACGCCAAAATTTGAAAGATAGGCGTTTGAAACAATGAATTCACCTCTACGGACTTTAATAAACTCGATTCTCAAAAGTTCAAAAGTCTCCACTTTTGCTTTTGAGGCAATGGATCGAGTTTTTCAAAAATAATTCAACAACTAGTCCTTATTTCCCCCCTTCTAGTCTCTTCTTCTTCAAATTTGGTCTATTTCCTTAAAGGTTTTGTTTTGTTCAATAATTTTTTTTCCGTGAACACGCGATAGAGAAGCACAGATCTCGGGCCCACTTTCTCCATTTGTGTATTTTTTTTCGCCCACTTTTCTTCCTGCAAAAAAAAAAAAGGCCCCTTAAAAAAATTTT